GGAATAGTTCGTTGGTGTTATTCAATCGAGCAGCTATGTCATGGGATGGGCCACTCGATGGTGGTGGTATGCACTGCTGCTGGACTGGATGATAAAGCTCAAATCTCCGTTTGCTTGAGCTCGAATGTCGCTAAGCTTATTCGTTTTCTGTTTCTTTTCATACTTTGTATGTCTTACGATTGGTATGTGCTTATGACGAAAGATATGAATACGGACCGGATGATATGGAATTATGAAGCACTTTGGTTTATACCCCTCAATTTTTTTCTTCTGCGTTTTTACTTTGTAGGCCATGAGATTGCAGAATGTATTGTCTTAAAAATCCACTTCACTATGAATCGTGAGCACCGAATAGAATCCAGTTCTATGTCTTTAGCAATGAGATTGTGCATCATCCTTAGGGATTCATCCCCCAGTTGCGATGTAAGTCACGTGTCGTCCATCCCCATTGCAAGGGATGCGCCCCCTCCAAGAAGCAAACCACGAATCTGCAGTTGGAGTAAAAGCCAAAGAGAAAGACAGTTGAAAGGTGAACTCAAAATATGGATTCTCCTCAGGACAGAGACATTAAACTCCAACGTGCTTCTAATGATTTGATACGAGAAGCAAGATCAAAACTCGCCCTACTCCTCTGGAAATCGCGTCCTCACGGCGGCCGTGAGGTCCATCGGCTAGCACAAGTTCGCAAGGCTTTAAAACTGATAACTCTCGTAAGTTTATAATTTTGTCACATGAAGAGAAATAGTAGTGTTTATATATATATATGGCTATAATCTATGGACTATTCTAACATTTCCCATTTGGGCGTGTTCTTCCTTCTCCCTTTGGTGGACAATCTTAGTTGGAACCATTTCAAGAATGGCCACAGCTTTTAGATCCCTATCTGCAAGAAATACTATCAAACCTAGTGGATGCATTCTTAGCATATCTGGAAGTGCATAGAGCTCAATATGTGCTCGCGTCATCGAACGTTTCGATGCAGAGCAGAGCCACAATGGGCCCTCTGATTCCTTTGCCCAGGGCAATCTGCATGATTCTATACACGCTCTGCAAAATCCGTGGCGTCAAAGTCATTAGCTGGTTTTTCAACAATGAGCCAAAATATCTGGAAGTCATGTTGCGCGTCTTCATTGAATGGGACAGTGATGCCGCCACCCCCGAGGCAGACACCAGTGAAACAGCCAGCACGAACGCTCAGCCCAAGTCTCTAATTTGGCAAGAGAGATACGTAATGCTTCTTTGGCTATCACATCTACTTCTTGCGCCGTTCGACCTCGCGTCTATCTCGTCAGAAACATTGCCGGTGCCGTATGATAATCTTTCGGTTGTCCCTGATCTATCCCCGGATATCCCCCGTGTGTCTTGTTCGATTCTTTCGATATGTCTTAAGTATGTTGTGCTTCCTGGGAAGGAACGGGAGGCTGCTACCCTGTTGTTGTCTAGACTTTCCCTGCGGGTGGATATGCAGCGATTGGGCCTTTTGGACTCTCTCATGCGGTGGGCGCTGGATATTCTACACCCGAAAACTGAAGGTATAGTTCCGCCGCCGGTGTACACCTGTATCGGAGTGCTTTCTTTTATCTCTAGGCTTGGGGCATCTGGGCAAGTGGATGATCTGACCTCATTTATTGTGCCGATATTTAACGGAATTCTGCCCTTATCTGAAGGAGAATCGCCCCTTGCTCAGACGATTAGGTCGTCTGCATCTGCCAGGAAGTTGATGGTAAAGATTCTCCGGACTATCACGACTCTCGTGATATCGTTGGAAGAGAGCCCTGGACATCATCAAATTCCTGAGGAGACTGTGTCGATGATCCTGGAGAACGCAATTGATTACTTCCTTGTCTCGCTTGGTGATAGAGATACCCCAGTACGATTGGCAGCGAGCAAGGCTCTCAGCATGATTACTCTCAAGCTGGCTCCAGATATGGCTTCTGATGTCGTAGAGGCAGTTATTAGTTCACTGGATGAGAATATCCTGTATGAGAGGCAGGATGGCACGTTAATCACGCCATCTGAAGCCCAGAATGTCGACGTTAAGTTACGGAAGCGTAACATAAGCGCCGTATGTCCTCAAAAGTGGCAGGGTCTGATCCTCACTCTTGCGCATTTACTATACCGCCGCTCGCCACCAACTGCCCTCCTTCCCCAAGTGTTTCAGTCACTAGTATCTGGACTAGATTTCGAGCAACGGTCATCGACGGGTAGTTCAGTCGGAACCAATGTTAGAGATGCTGCATGCTTTGGAATATGGGCTTTAGCTCGGAAGTACACGACTAGCGAACTACAGGACCTCGACGCCCAGGAGCTGAAGGTGACAACAAACCAGGAAAATGGGAGTACGTTACAAGCTCTTGTAATAGAGCTTGTCTGTGCCGCATGTTTGGATCCCTCGGGAAATGTTCGACGAGGCGCTTCTGCTGCATTGCAGGAGCTTGTTGGTCGCCATCCCGATACAATTTTCGAAGGCATTCCTTTGATTCAGGTTGTTGATTATCATGCCGTTGCTCGTAGGTCGAGGGCGATGATTGATGTTGCAATAGGAGCTTCGGATATAGGAACTTTGTACTGGAAGCCCCTCGTGAATGGCTTCTTACAGTGGAGGGGCATCGGCTCTCCTGATGCAGAGTCGCGACGAACTGCTGCTCGCGTCCTCGGTGATTTAAGCCTTCAGGAATCCTACAAGTCCTCGAGCATAATGCTTGAGAGACTTGTACAACAGCTCTCTACAACACCATTACAGGCTGTTGAGGCAAGACATGGCCTATTTTTATCTATTGCTGCTACTATTGATGCTTTCATCAGGCATAGGAACCACGGAGGTGGCAAATCCTGTTCGCCCGAGTATACCAAAAAGGTCGTGGCTCAAATTACTGATCTTTGGGGGACTATCTTTGACTCTACTATCTCCCCAACAGCGGACGTCCTGACGGATCATACTCTACGCCCTGACCTCACTGCTGAGGCTTGCGCATATCTTATCTCTTCTCTTTCTCGCTCCTGCGGGCCCGAGGAGCAACAAAATGATGTCCACCCTACGCTCCCCCACCCATCTCCTCGATTGCTTGATAAAGTTGTTGAGGTCTTGCTGTTATGTATGTTTCGACCAGATGATATCCCGATTGAGGCCTCATCGCAAGCAGCTTCGTACTTATTCGCACTACTTCCTAACACTCAAAAGTTGGAGGTTGTGCAAAAATGGTTCAACAATATTCAGGATAACTGGCGGCTGGAGACTGGGCGCGGGCAAATTGCAGCATTGGGTGCGGTTTTCAAACGGATGCCGACAGCTGGGGAAGGGAGACAGTTTATTATAGATAAGCTCATCGATTGTACCGGGGTGGAAGAGAAAATCGCTAAACGGTCGTCAGCTGTGAAGTGTCTTGCTACTGGTGTGTTGCCGGATATAGGTATGATAAAAATATTCCTTCATATATATATATATATTATGAGCTTTTGACTGATATGTTAGGATGCGATAGATGATGTAGAATCCCTTGCTGGGCACTTCAATACCTTTCTTAATGACTACACAACGGACCGAAGAGGTGATGTTGGTTCGTTCATCAGGCTTGAGGCTATCGAGGCAGTTAATGTCATTCTTGAATCGAAAGTGCCACCTGGCTCAGCACCTGTCTACCTGAAGGACTTGATGAGCTGTGTTGTACGACTCGCCGCAGAAAAACTTGACAAAGTCCGCTTTCACGCGTGGAAATGTTTAAGGACATTTTGGGAGACATCCATGGACTTGCCTCCTCTAACAAAGTAAGGTCCAGGGATCTTTCCAGAAAGAAAAGAAAAGAAAAGAACCAAAATTTTTCTTTTCAACAAGAACACGGTCCTAACAGAAATTTCCTTAGGAAATTTGAGCATTTCAGCGAAGTCTCTACGGCAGACTATTTCTTACAACTTTGCGACTTACTTCAGGTTGACTGGCTTCGTCACTCGCTCTCTAAAGGCATGGTAACGTCCGCTACCACCGGTACCGAAGTAGTAGTCCGATCCGCCCGCTTCGCGCTTTTGCAATACATAAATAGCCAGAACGATGAGCAAAAAAACAATATATGTGCTGAACTTATCGAAGACTGGCTCTCGATACTGGAAAGCGATAATGATGACGATCGTTATGCTATCCCAGCTGTTGAAATGATTGCGTTATTACTTGACAACTACTCCTTGCATAATTCCCCTGATCTGAATATCAAGTGAGTATTTCACCCTATATTCAGTAGCGATGCTGATCTTGCTAATGGTTGTCTTTTCCCCTTCTTACCCCCTTATCCTGACAGCTACCAAAATCTCTTCGTTGCGGTTCAAAAGTTCCATTATAAATCAGCCAATATGGCCCGGATTGAAGCTGCGATAAAAGTATATGCACTCCTTTGGAGGCTGAATATTGTTAGGGGAGACGCCATGAAAAAGCTGACGGGAATGCTGCTGCATCCGTATCCTAAGGTAAATTCCCCCGGCTCCTACCAGGGGACCCTGTTCCCACTGCGTTTGCTATTCTTATTTTTAACCACGAATAGATCCGAACCATTGCCGCGGACTGTTTATACATGGAGAGTCATATTGAGGAAATGAAAGGCGAAGACTGGTCAAGTCCCCCAAAGCAATTGAAAGCGAAGGTTGATAATTTGCGACTGGTTCTTTCTCGTCGTCCAAATGATATCTCTCAATAGCTACGTATGAATAGCGGTCACAGGAATATAAGGACTATTTCCTACTATGTCCATATTTGTAATTAAATGGATATGTGTATTCATTAATAATTAACCATGGGATGAGTTTAGTGGTAGTTTGTTTGGGTGTGAGGATGGCAGAGATATACTTATACATATCAACTGATAATATTCACCAAACAATGAATGGTGGGGAATTATTGTACCCGCAAATAGCATGAATTGAAAAACACTAACCAAAATACTATGAATCTTGAATCCTTGATGAATTAAAAAAAAAGAAAAAAAAATGAGAAAAAGATAGAAAAACTATGTTAATGCATCATCCGTGAATCGAACACGGGCCTCATCGAATCACACCAATCAGGAACCGAGGTTCCAGAGTTGAATGGCAACGATGAATTCTACCACTAGACCAATGATGCTTGTTCTTATGTTACGGGCAGTGCAACTTTGATCCACTAAGAATTACACATTACGGACCGACTATTCGGCCGAAGCCCTGGAATCCAATATGAACATCTCAAGTAGCTTATCACGTTGCTTCGATTCTCCCAGTTTTGACAAGATCCAATCGACAGCTTCAGGAGCGCTAATTTTCATTCATCATGGCAGCCGTAGCTGCCACGGCGTCTGGCGTAGCCCCCAACTCGACGTGCGTGTTCGGCCACCCTAGCCCTTGATTTATACAAGTTTTACTGACCTTGACCTCGTTCTGCTATTATTCTCTCTAGCATCTATGTATGTCAGAAGAAAGAGCGAAATATTTCCCAGACGCAACATAAATAAATGTTAGAAGGCTAACCAAAGGGGAAATCGCGATTCCCATGCGTGCAGGTCCGTAATCTTGAAGAAAGAATCAAAATCGAGTCCCTCAAAGAGGCGTTAACCGAAATCTTCTCCGAATACGGCAACATCATCGATATTGTCGCGAAGACAAACCTCAAAGCAAAGGGTCAGGCCTTTGTCGTCTTTGATAATGTAGACTCCGCCACGCGTGCGATTGAGGAGATCAACGGGTTTGAGCTCTTTGAGAAACCCATGGTGTTGGACTATGCGAAGACCCGAAGCGATGCGACAGTGCTGAAGGAACAAGGGGAGGCGGAGTTGGAGGCCCATAAACGGAAGCGGTTAGCAGAGAAGGGTCAGTTTTTTGTTTTTGTCTTGTATACATGGGGCTCGTGACTGATTTTTGCATTTTTTCCCACTTGTTCACACAACCAGAGAGAAAACAAGCACAGGAAGCGCTCGAGGCGCAGAAGAAGCTGAAGCGTGGAGCTGCGGCGCCAGGAGGCGCGGAAACCCGCCCATCAAAGGTCACCCGAGGTACCGGCTTGAAGTCTTCCAACGCCGCCGCTGCTCCTGTTATACCAGACGAATACCTACCTCCTAATAAGATTCTGTTCTTGCGGGAGATTCCTGACTCGTTAGATCAGGATGGCCTTATTGCAGTCTTTGGTAGATTCGAGGGCTTCAAGGAAGTGCGTATGGTACCAGGCCGGAAAGGAATTGCGTTCGTGGAATATGAAGCAGAGACTGGTGCTATCAGTGCCAAGGAGGCTACATCTGGTATGCCGTTGGGAGAGAATGGGAAACCTATTCGGGTGACGTACCAGAGGCAGTAAGGGATTTTATTCACTTTATTTGTCCTATGTTTACCCTATGCTTTCTGCTTTCGATGGGAATCTGCAATGCGCTTTTGTGAGGTGGCTGTGTTATGTTCTTTTGGCGTTTGGTTTTTATGAATGGGAGAATGCGCTCCTGAGTTTTCTTGTTTCTTATATTTTATCTCAAAATATATTATGAATGACAAGTTTATGATTGTATAAAAGAAAAGAAAATTACTACATATATCGTGCTACAAGCAATACGCATAGAAATTATACAATGGTCCAAAGGCGTTACAATTAAAAAATAATATCTTGATCCTCTTGTTCTCCAAGCAAATCGGCAGGTGCAGTGGTATCCGTTGACTGTGAATTTGCTATTTCAGCTTTTTCTGCTGCTTCTCGTTTGGCTTTCATTTCAGCATCAGCGGCTGCCGTGTCTCTCTGTTTTTTGTTCGATACCTAACAAGTTGATGGCGGGTTAGTTCACTCTAGTCTGGCACATGTTCGGGTCAATTGTAGTTACCTTCTTTAGTCGGTAAAACTCTTCTCGGTCGAGTTCGTCTAACTCTGAGTTGATGTCTAGTGAAATGTAAGTAATCTGCAATGACATTTACTTTCACTGAGCCACTTACATTTGATAGTATTTTCAGTTCTGGGGATAATAACATGTTCACTAAATGTATCCAGCTAGATATTAATCCTCAATTCAAACCAATATAAACCATATCCGAAAAGGAATATTAGAGTACCCCAATAGTATAGGGTAACTTAGGGTGACGCCTGACTGTCAGTTTACCGAAGGAGGGAAGGGTGCTTCATACATGGCATTGACTGAGATGAGTTATAGTTAGCAACTTAACCAAGTCAACAACGCAGCTAGGGAAACATACCTCGTCTATTCACCACTTTGATGACCTCATCTAGTATCACAAATGCCGTCTAATAAATATCGTATAACACTCGTCAGTTATTTGCCATGGTCGAGAAGATGATTGTTGGGGGGTTGGTCACGAGGCTGTACCTGTAAGCTAGCTAGTTCGACGAGCGTTTCAACGGCCCTTGAGTATGTCTCTCGACAACGCTGGACTTGTTGCCCTCCTTTTCCCAGGCCTGTCAGACCAAAATCATTGCTGCCCTCGGCCGTTATGCTCTCAAACTGAGGCAGCATTACGCCAGAGACATTTTCTTGTTTTGTCTGTACACGGAACCGTGCCTGTTTCGCAGATTCCTGGACCTGGAAACCGATATCTCCTCCAACAGCATATGTAACTTCTGCGAGGGAAAAGGCCGCTATCTGCATAACGCGACCCATTTTCCGTTTTGCCTCATCGATCCGTTTGGTGATTTCTATTAATATATGACATTAGACTAGGTAGGAAGATGCGGGCTTCAAACGTTTCATACCTCGAAACCGCCTATTCGTGGGTGAAAATAAAGATTAGTACACAACATAATATTAGATATCATTTGCTATGGAACGCACTTAGTCAAAGCTTCACTTTTTCTTTTCAGAAGACTGTGCCCTGTCTCCGCACCCTTCAGCTTCCCCTTCATTAATCCCAGCGATTGCCGGGTTGGAAAGACAGCTTCCCGGTCCTGAAACGATTAAAGAACAAATTAATGATGAGCATATACACAAGAGCAAGGCGTGGAATAAAACATACCCCTGTTCCAGACATTGCGAAGAGAGTTGATAGGATGCGGCCCGCGAATGAGGCCGCACAACTTTCATTTAGCTGTTTCGACTGAGTAGTTGTGCTTGCTTGCGTCCAAATGCAGTTCGTCATTCCAAAGTTGGCGCCCAAGGACGCTTGGACCATCCGGCTAGGTCGCTCTAATAAAAGACAGAAAGCCTTGGCATCCCTAGCCCAGTCATGTGACCCGACACGACCTAGCTAGGACACATTGTCGGCGACAGACGACATCTCTTCAACCCACGCGCTAGCAATGACTCTGTGTTCTCCTGGCAGTCCGTCTCTTCGTATATCAACGCAGCGAGCGCCCGCATAGGGTCACGCTCTTGTGGGTGGTGAGATGCCCGGGACACTTTTGGACGGAGGTCCCCAGGAAGGGCGCCAGGCGAAGATGGACAAGAACACGCCAGCCCAGCCCGATCTCTACTTGATTGTAAGCCGCTGCCCTATTTTTCTCGGTCCATGGATCTGATTTTTTTTTTTTTTTTAAAAAAAAAATTGCTAATCCTTTTGAAGGGGAATGATGATACTGTCTATGAACAAGACATTCTGCGCGACCCGCACAGCATTACGCCCTGGCTGTCTTACATTGAATTCAAGCACCAGCAAGGCAATTCCTATGAACAAGCCTTTGTACGTGCACATTTTATTTCTCCATCTCCTCTTAGAGTAACACAGACGGCTAATAACGTTGATAAAGGTCATGGAACGGGCTTGCAGGCAACTTCCCAGGTCATATAAATTGTGGAAAATGGTAAGCTCAGATTACACTCCCTCAATATCGGATACCAGCTCACTTTGTGCTCCTGTTTTTTTTTTTTTTTTTTCTTAGTATCTTGAATTCCGTATGAAGCACCTCAGAGGGCGGAATCCAGCGGTTCATCGTGCGGAATATCTCAAAGTCAATGGCCTATTCGAACGCGCTGTCATCCTGCTCAACAAGATGCCGCGAATATGGGAGATGTTTCTCACATTTCTACTTCAGCAGCCAATGATCACACACACCCGCCGGACTTTTGATAGGGCACTACGCGCGCTACCAGTTACTCAGCATAATCGGATTTGGAAGCTTTACAAGGCCTTCGCTTACTCAGCGTCTGGAGACACTGCGATAAAAATATGGCGTAGGTACATGCAAGTCCATCCCGAGAACGCCGAAGAATATATCGATATCTTGGTTGAGATGGGTAAATACACTGAAGCCGTGAAGAAATACATGGAAATTCTAGATAATCCTAGATTTCAGTCGAAGAACGGGAAAAGCCAATTTCAATTGTGGACTGATATGGTTGAGCTACTTGTCAACAAAGCAAAGGATATCGAAGTCGGCCCTGAGATTGGTATTGATGTCGATTTGATCATTCGCAGTGGAATCGATAGATTCGCTGACCAGAGGGGAAAGCTATGGGCTGGCTTGGCTACTTATTGGATTACCCGCGGAAATTTCGAAAAGGCAAGAGATATTTTCGAGGAAGGGATCACAACCGTCATGACTGTTCGGGATTTTACTATGGTATTCGATGCCTATGTGGAATTTGAAGAATCTATCATAGGACACCTGATGGAGGAGGCAGCTTTACGATCTGACCAGGGAAAAGTTGATGAGGCCGCCGATTTCGATCTAGACCTTCGAATGCTGAGGTTTGAACAACTCATGGATCGCCGACCTTTCCTAGTCAACGATGTGCTTCTCAGACAGAACCCCAACAATGTGATCGAATGGAGTAAACGTGTAGCGCTGTGGGGTGATAATAAAGCCGAGATTGTTCAAACATACACGAAGGCCATTGCAACTATCCATCCTAAGAAAGCCCATGGCAAGTTCCACGAGCTTTGGGTTAACTATGCGAAATTTTATGAACAGGGTGGAGATCTTGATACAGCTAGGGTAATTATGGACAAGGCCGTCAAGGTGCCTTTCAAGACTGTGGCCGAACTGGCTGAAACATGGTGCGAGTGGGCTGAGATGGAATTGCGCAGCGAAAACTTTGACAGAGCAGTGGACATCATGGCAAAAGCGACACAGGCTCCAAAGCGATCTACGGTAGACTATTTTGATGAAACTCTCTCACCCCAACAACGGATCCACAAGAGCTGGAAGTTGTGGAGTTTTTATGTTGA